GGAATTCAATCTTCAATTATAATACTACTTAATTAATAATTATATTAATATGTACATTTTAGTTTCACATTGGTCACCCACAAACAATAATAAAATTACTTTGGTTTAAAATAAACACTTTCTTATGAAAACATTTCTACATTTTTGTTATAATAATATTCCATTCACCATAATGTCAAATCTAATTTGGTCATACAGCATATTATTAAGAGACATTTGCTCTTTTAACACAAGTAACATGAGCAAATTTTAATGACATTGGTCAAAATGAGACATTGACCCTTCTTGCACCAAGCCACTGAATTATTTTATGGGTTGGTCAGGTATTATTATTATTATTATTATTATTATTACTATTACTATTACATTTTATGCCTTATTTCAAGTGTTTTCAATTTTCATAGCTATATAGCTATATTATATAGTTTGTATTTAATGTGTTGCTTAGGTATATATTAATATCGTTTTTTATAGATTATACTTAACATTTCATGTGCAGTTTCCGCTGTACAAAATGTAAATTGAAATTATATACTGTTCTCGCCTTGATCACCTAATATACTAATTCCAACTCTGTTAAATTATTTAAATTGTAAACTTATATTAATTAATATTAATATTTAGCTATTCAAGCCGTCTTAATATATAAGTCACATTTATACACCATTCAACGGTTGTTGGGATTCTTCGTTATGTGTTCACTAACAGTTAAACTAAAGAACTCTTCGTACAATTTCCTAAAATTAGTTCATGGTATGCATAAACTTTTCAAATCGCATCACTTCAACAAAAATTTAAATCATTAAACATTGTAATATTATATTACATTGCAATGCAATGCTATGTGTCCACAGAACAAAAAATAAATTTAATTCACTTGAAATATATAATATAATAATAATACCAATCACAACACCAAACGGTATCATTTCATAATGAGTCGGTCAATATATGTTCAGTAATCTTTTAAATATTTCCCTATAGTTACGTCAACTCGAGATACGTCAGCCCGCCAGAAGCCGTCTGGCGATTGTTTTCATACAATTTGCACGGCAAAAGTCACGTGGTCGTCAGGCTTCCCGTTCACCTGGAGGATCGTCAGAACGTGTACTTTGCGCCGGGCCAAGCAGAAGAACGGCTACAGAACGAAGCTGTACGTCACACAAAACTCACGCAGTTCTTCGCGCTCAACACGACCAGCGTGGTGGCTCGACAATACTTGTACCACGACATACCGACGCATTACACCTGGCAGCAAAATGTCAAACAATGGCGTCCGCGGGTGAATCGGATGACAAACGTTACATTGGCTCGGATGTACGTAGTGAACCCAATGGACCGGGACCGTTTTCACTTGAGATTGCTACTTCTGAACCGAAGAGGCCCGCAGTCCTTTCGCGACATAAGGACGGTGGACGGGGTCGTTCACGAAACATACACGGCGGCTGCGATTGCACTCGGACTATTGGAAGACGACCTAGCGTGGCGGAATTGTTTGGATGAATCGGCGTTGGTGGACACACCGCGCCAACTGCGGTATCTGTTCGTCACTATACTGGTGTTCTGCCTGCCGTCAGACCCGCTGGCGTTGTACCGGGCGAACGAAGCGTACCTGATGGAGGACTTCAACCGGCGTCTCCAAGACGTCGACCGCGCGAGGGCCGCGTGCCTGGCAGCCATCGAGGATCTACTTCGGGGGCACGGAAAGTCACCCTCGGTCGACTACGGTTTGCCCCTCGCCGACCCGCTTCTACTGGAACCACTGCAGGACGACAACGTGCTGTTCCGAGAAATAGACGCGGCGGCACGGTGGGCCCAACAAGTGGACAACTTGAACGCCGAACAGTGAACGGTGTACGACCGCGTGATGGCGGCCGTCGAAGACCCAGACGAGGTGTCGCGAACTTTCTTCGTCGACGGACCCGGAGGTACAGGAAAAACTACACTGTACGGATGCCTGATATGGTCACTTCGGCAGCTTCGGCGGGAGGTGTTGAGCGTTGCGTTCACCGGGATCGCAGCGTCGCTCATGGACGGCGGCATGACCGTGCACTCGACGTTCGGACTTAAGTTCGGCACGCTGACCGAAGACTCGACGTCCTCTATCAGCTTGCAGTCCGAGCGAGCGCAGAGGATACGCAACGCGGCGCTCATCGTCTGGGACGAAGCCCCCATGTCACCGGGACTGCAACTGACGGTGGTGGACCGCCTGCTCAGGGACGTCATGGATAAGCAATTAGTACCGTTCGGCGGTAAGACCATGCTGTTCGCCGGCGACTTCAGACAGATATTGCCCGTGATCCGGAGAGGGAAGAGAGCCGATATCGTCATGTCGTCCATCAAGAACAACGGTCTTTGGAACGTCATGGAGCGCTTCGATCTGGTCCAGAACATGCGCGCGGGCAACGACGCGGACTTTGCGTCTTGGTTGCTTCAGCTCGGCAACGGCCAACTGCCCGCGGTCGACGGCGTTCCGGACACCGTGCAAATCCCGCAGGAAATGGTGTGCGACGTCGCCGATTTAATCGATTTCGTGTATCCGCAGCACATGTCGTTGGCCAACATCGACGAATTTGCTCGGAGAGTTGTCGTGTGTCTCACCAACGAAGAGTGCAGAGGTATCAACGCGGACGTGCTGGAGCGCGTCGACGGCAATTCAGAGACCTACCAGGCCGTCGACACCGCGGAGGTGGACGCGGCCGACGAAGTGGCCAATTTCCCCACAGAGTTCCTCAACACTTTGGTACCGGACGGCCTGCCGCCGTTCCGGCTCGAGTTGAAGGTGGGGTGCATCGTCATGTTGCTCAGAAATCTCGATCCGAGGAGACGACTGTGCAACGGTACGAGGTTGGTGGTCACCGAACTGCGACGTCACAATTTCAAGGCGAGGATTTTGGGCGGTGACCCACAGGACGACGACATCGTCCTGCCCAAGATACCGCTCACGTCCAGCGGTGAGGACGACCTGCCCCCGAGTAGCATTATTCAAGTTCACTGTCCGTGTATAAACACTGTGATCATGTTATCGTTTATTAACAGTTTATGAATGTACCAAGTTCACTAAATGGTTAAAATAAAATGCCACGGTGTATAGACCAACTATTCAATAGTTCACCTAAAGTTCCTACACAATGTACCCACACCACAGTTCATATACTGTATTTATATATTTCATGTTAACCCAATGGTTCCTATAAAATGCCACAGTATTAAGAATAAACAATACGCAATGTTCACAATTTGTTCCTAAGCACCGTGTCCACACAATTAATCATACACTGTCTTCGAATGTTTCACATTAACCAAACGGTTCATTTAAAATCTTGAAGTGTTCACCATAGCACGTTCGCGATAGAAATTGATAAGCTGATGCTAAATAAGTAATAAAATAACGGACACGCCGTGTCGCCGTGTGCGGTGTGCCTGCTGTAGTAATTCATTTTATACAATGTTATTCTTATTATTATTCTTATTTATAATATTATGTTATATTTTATCCATGTGTCCTGTTATAGACCAACCACCGTCGGCCAAAAAATGATAAGCTTTCTACCGCGAATATCAGCACACCCCCCTCCAACACACACACACACACACACACCCACACACACACAAACACACATCATCACATAAATCTATTAATAATAATACATGTTCTGGATTTTGTTAACGTTCAACTAATTCATAATTGAGAATTTCGATATTTCGCGCTATTTAATATTCACGTTTTTTATTGTCGACGTACAATAGCTTATTATTACTGTTGCAACCGCCAGTCTGAATTGGGTAAGTACATTTTGATTTTTAATTTGTAAAAATATACTTAGAATTTATAATTTTAGAACCTATCCTTTTGTCTTATTTTGTATACCTATACCTACCTAAAATAATAATTATAGTGTCTAATATAATATAGTAGAGAGTGTTTTACCTATGTCCAATGTGCACATACTCATATCGACTAAAAAATCACTGCATCTATAACATCTTGGTAGCTATTTAACTACTGTCAGCACTACGATAGTAGGTACCGAGCCCCAAGATCGTTACAAACCTAATAATAAACCTTATAATAAATTTTTAATTCTGAAGCCAATGTTTTATAGCAATGGTTCTTTTCATTTAGAAGTTTAGAACTTAATATTTTATGCGTTAAAAATCTATACTTCAGAATTAATATTTTAATAACAGTGTTTATATAGGTTTAAGCATAAATGCTTAATATGTAGGAAATAGCTATATATGGTTGGACACTTATACACAATACTGCCACGGTTAATATACAGAAAATATTGGTACATGTTTCTACTTTTTAAAAACAACTAGGTCTAATAAGCTGTAAGTATATCTATTTGTAGCTACCCAAATTTGTTGGCACCTCAGTAGTATTAATATCTATAATTTTAAAAATGTATATATAACCTATATTAAATTTAAATCATTTCTAAAACCTTTAATCACCCAAAAACTATATTATAGAGTTTACAAGGCTTCAAACAATAAATATTTATAATAAAATAACATTAATGTTTATTTTATTACATGTATAAAGAAAACTTTTATTATAGTTTATATCTGGTTATTGTGACGGATACCAATTTAATTAAAAATTATCATGCAAATGAAAAAAACAGTAAATACCTACCTACCTATTTAGAAAATGTTAATACCTTGTATATCTATATATATAGTAGGTACTAAGGGCCGTATTCATAGTCAATGCTATAAGGATAGGTATTGCTTAAGCTATACTTGTATGACTCAACTGAGATTCATAACAAAACTTTTGCTTGTGAAAAGAAAAAGGTAATACTTGAATTAAAGTTGTACAAGATTACCTTAAGCATTGCTTTTAGATATTATCACCAACTTTTTATTTTTAAATTATAAAAATTAGCTTATATAAGTATAAGCAATACTTATTCTTAAGCTATTTAGCTATATATCTTCCAAGAAATACCTACAATATTATTTTATTATGTTATTTTATTAGGTCAACAATGGATAAAAATGCTGCTGGAACACTACAACGGTTTGTACCTAGTAAAAGTACACGGTATAGGTTAAGAAAGCAAGCTAAGTTATTAATTTCTTCTTCTTTGAATAAAAATACAGCTATATCAAATCCATCAAGTACAACTTATGATACAAATATTGATTCTGTATCAAATATAGAACAAAATAATTCTCTTCATCAAAATATTTGTGAAAATAATTTAATCATAGATAATCTTAGTGAGTCCTCTGAAAGTTTATGTAGCACTTTGTTGAGTTCTGAGATAGATGAAGTTTCTGAATCTGATTGTGAAGAGTTATTCGACTTAAACTTAATTATAGCCACCTGGGCTATAAAGCACCAGATTCCTCATATTGTACTCAATGATTTACTAAAAAACTTAAGAAAAAGTTCACAATTCAATAATTTACCAAAAGATGCACGTACTCTTTTAAAAACTCCTACGACCACAACAGTAAAAAATATTGATGGTGGTGTTTATCATCATTTTTCAATCAAAGAAGAAGTAAAATTACTAATGAAATATTGTGATTTACCACTAAAACTAAATTTAATAGTTGGAATTGATGGACTCCCTATTACCAAAAATCCTCCTAGTAGCCTTTGGCCTATTTTAGGGCATTTTTCAAATTTAGATATTCTTAAACCAAATGTTTTTATAATTGGGGCATTTTATGGAAAAAGTAAGCCAACTGATGCAAATGAATTCTTATCAGATTTTGTTTTTGAATTAAAAGACATTTTATCTAATGGTATTATAATTGATGATAAACATTTTTCTCTAGAAGTCCATGCTATACTGTGTGATGCCCCAGCAAAATCATTTGTTCTCAAAGTACAGGGTCATACTGGTAAACACTCATGTGTTCGTTGTACAACTGTTGGAATTAGAGACGAAGGGCGTATTTGTTTTCCTGACTTAGATGCTCCTATTAGATGCCATGAAAGTTATTTAGACTGTAATGATGACCAATTTCATTTAGGAAAATCTATTTTATCAGAAATTCCCAAATTAAATTTAGTAACATCCATACCGTATGATTACATGCATTTAGTATGTATTGGTGTTACTAAAAAGTTGATTACATTTTGGGTTAATAGTAAACATAAACATGCCTTACCTAAATCTCATGTTAATGAATTAGACAAAATAATGAATTCTTTAAAATATTTCATTCCTCAAGAATTCCAAAGAAGGCCTTCTGAAAGTTCAAGATTACACCCATTTCACGATATCAATCGATGGAAAGCTACAGAGTTGAGGCAATGCCTACTATATACTGGATTTGTTATTTTCTTAGGACATGTTAAAGAGGAAATTTATAGTAACTTTGTCATTTTATCAGTAGCTATTCGTATAATTTTAACTGAACAAGTTACTTTGGAGTATTACGACTATGCAAAATCATTACTTAGACATTTTGTTGAATCATTCCAATCAATTTATGGAAAGGCATACATATCCCATAATATTCATGCTTTAATCCATATTGCAGATGATGCTAAAAAATATGGCTCTTTAAATAATTTTTCTTGTTTTCCATTTGAAAATTTTATGCAACCTATAAAAAAACAAATTAGAAGTGGAATGAAGCCACTTCAACAATTAGTGCATAGGTATGCTGAAGAAAAAGCTATTCAAATTACTAATTTTAATAAAAATTCAACTTTTAGTACACATAATGGACCCTTAAAATGTCGTTTAACAAACCAAAACAGACCTTTGATTTCTGAAGTACAAAACCCACAATTTACTGGTTGGCGTCTATCAAATATGATTTTAAAGTTAAATAGTGCAGATAATTGTGTACAATTAATGAAGGGTGGTATTGTTGTAATAGAAAATATTGCTACGTCCTCCGTAACTAATGATATTATGATTGTAGGCCGCGAATATGAAAATGTTGGTTCATTTTTTAACTTTCCTTGCAATTCATCAATTTTAAATATTTATAAAGTCGATAATTTAGGACCACTCAGATGTTGGAAATTAACAGATATATTTAAAAAAATGGTTAGGTTGCCCATTAACCAATCAGATGACGACAAATCAATGCTTATTCTACCTTTTGTACATTCACAGTAATATTTTAAAAAATTAATAATTTATTTTAGAGAACTTAATACTCGCATATGTGTTGTCTCTTAAGTGCTTGTGTAACATAGTTAACAAATGCGAATATAGTATATACAATAGTCAATAACATTACCTATAATTTCCTTTTATTTATACCAGTATTTATATTTTGTATCCTAATTTTATTCTTCTTTAGTTATTTACTTTTTAATAAAATGTACATCAAGAAAAGTAATAATATAATAAGTGTAAATATGAAATTGTTATACCTACCTATCGTAAGCAAAATAATTTCGAGAATAAATGCTTATTTATGTTAATATAAAGTGCCTGGAATGTTATATCATTTACCCAAAGCAACTTTATACAACACGTGCCTTCAATATGGTGTCAAACACAAGATATGGTTACTAAATGTTGGTTTCCATACACTAAATTGGAGTTCCCTCAATCCAAAGTTCACTTCAGCAATAAACGTATTATGAAAATGATCACAGAGTCGTACGAGCCAAACGATGTTGATGGAGCTTGGTTTGAAGTCAAGATATTAGCTGGACCATTAGGTATATAATGTAGACAATAAGAACAAATAACTTAACTTAGAATAAAAATATAATATAACCTATGAAATTACATTTAGATAAAGAAATATTAGCAAGAAATGTTTCAAAAACATTGTCATCTCAATCTGAATCAGACAATAGTGACCAGTCAGCTAATGATGAAAGTGATGATAGCTATACTAAAACAAAAAAGGCTGGCAGGCGAAGAAAACCAAAAAAACTTTTTTCTCCCGAACAGGGTCAAAAACGCCGTAAAGTGATTGAGTCATCAAGCATACCACCAATACCTGTTCCTCCTAAAATACCAATCAATTCATCTGGTAATTATTTTAGATATTAATGATTTCTTTTACTAATAAAGTTCCTTAATTAAGTAAATAATGTATTATTCTAGTTTTTATTGAGTTATCTAGCAACAATGATGATGTCGATAAACGTTCTTACCTTAACAATATACAATGCGAAGGAAGAGGAAAGATATATAAGGAGCATGTGAGTTATTCATACAATTCTATTAAATATTACTGTAGTATTATATTACTATATATTTCATTTCTAAAACTAATGTGACTAATGTGTTGAAAATTAGTTATAATATTTCAAAGTTTTTTTTTACTTACATAATATGTATGTAATATTTTATGGATCAATCAATACATAATATGTGGCCCCACCAACAAATTTTAGCAACTTTTTAAAATATATATATTGTCTTTTTATTCCTGGTATTTTGTTAGGGTTCCTTTAAAAAAAATCAATTATAACTACTAGGTATTTATTAAATTTCAGAATAATGGATATGATATTAATAACAGTGATGATGATTTATTATCAGAAACTATAAATACTTTTTTGAAAAATGTTTCGGCCAATGATTTTGTACTGGAAGATGATAATAATATATCTGCTGTAGAGGTTCAAACACAAGGTATACATTATAATTGTTTTTAATTTAAATATCTATTAAACGTTAAAATTGTATGCAGAAATGTCAAACATTCAACCCAACTGCAATTATGCATCATCTCCAGTCACTCCAGAAATTGAAAAAGAAGGTAAAGTTATTGATATTTGATTTCTATATATAATATTTAGTACTTATAATCAAATATTATATTTGATCATAATATATAGAACCTATATGATGACTGATTAATATTTTGTTTGTTTATAGAAAACAAAATAGGTTCACCATCTCCATCCCATGAAAGGGATGATGACCATAATATAGAATCAAAAACACAAAATATAAGTAAATAATAATACTATGTGTCTATATTATAATATTAAATATTCAGTATACATTTTATTTATTACATATAAATTTCAGTGAACGATTCCAGAATCTCTACTAATGAAATTACTGAACTAAAAAAAATGATTCATGAACAAACAATTGAATTTAAAAAAAGAGACCAAAATGTAATGCTGCAATTGTTGATGTTGGTCAGATCTAATAGCAAAATTTGTGAAGCTGTCCAGAATATCGACAAAAAAGTAGGATACATGATGAAAGCTGATACTAGGACTCGAGCATTAGCATTGCCTTCGCCTAATATTCCTTTACCATTTATTAACCTTTTACCAACTCAAACAATTGAGAATGTAACTGTTGTTGAAAATATCCTTTCAAATATAGATGACGGATTCTCAAATAAAGAACAATTGGTACGATTAAATAAAATAACTTAATTCATTTGTATATTATTATATTTTTAAACAATCAAATTATTAATTTTGTTTCAGAAGTCTTATATACTTATGAAAGTAGGTACAATGTCCTTCAGTGCATCAATAAGAAATGCAATTGCTTGTTGCTTTGACAAAGACGTGTTGAAACTATATAGTTATAAAGGCAAGACAAAAAAAAAGTTTATTGGTCTCAATCTATTTGATGTTATTTATGGTGAGTGAATGAGTTATGTAATACACATTTTATTTAATTTTTAGTACATATTGATATTTAGAAAATCCATCTAATCATATTATCTATATATAAAGTTATACCTACATTATATAGGGTGGTTAGATAGAATTATATATAATCTGATTTTTGTTATTTTTGTATATACTTTAAGAAAATAGAAAATTGTTTAAATTCTTGAGATTTTTGTATTACTTGAGTGTTCTAGCATTCTATAAATGATAGCACTTCTATTTTCAAATGAGAACTTCCCATTAATACTGTAAATTATATAGTGGCTGATTTTTCTAAAGATGTTGTCTATCTTAATCAAAATTCAAACAAGTAATAGTTTCTGGGTTATTTAATTTTTTGTTCTAAAGATAATTGGGACTTCATAAAGAGTTTAAAAGATTATATGGAGACTATAACGAGTTGAAAATTGTAGTTATTAATCTATCAGAATTTAAAGTTTTTAAAAATAGTCCAAGTATATATCTAGATACATCATGTATATATATTATTATCTATTTTTTAAAACTATTTTTAAGGACTTTTATTTTTAGTACCTACTGCAAATATTTAAATAACTAAATACTATATGTACTTATTCAAATTTTGAATTAGGTACATTAGAAAAATGTTCCATTAAATAATTTATATCTAAAAAGGTGTATTAATTAATAGTACCTATATATAGAGTATACTCTTATAGTACAGAAAATCTCAAGAATTTAAAAAAATGATTTTCAAAGTAACTTTTAAAAATTTCAAATATAAGAATTTGAATAAATTTCTTGTATTCAAAAATGAGGGTGAACATGCTTGGTAAATCATTATATATTTATATTTAGAAGCATTATCTGGTTTTCGACTTACACCTGAGGATGAAAGACATTTTCACCAAGTTGCAGATAACTATATTCGACATGCGGCAATAGAAAAAAAGGAAGAAATCCCCAATCCAAAACTATGAATTGAACAATTTATCCATATTTATTTTCCTAAATATACTATACATTCTTTAATTAAAATAACAAGTCGTTAAAATACTTTTTATTTTTCACTTAATTATGTTGATAATTTTTTTACTAATATTACTATTTTGTATTCTTTTAACATTATAATCATCATACCTTTATGATCTAATATACATACTGTTTTAATAATAAAACAAGTAGTATGTAATTATTATTAAAACAAAAATTTGTTGAAATACAAAAGTACATTATATAAGTAAATTTTTTTATTTTGTTTTGTTTGCAATATAAATTGACTGATTATAACTAATACCTAATATATATAATATTATATATATAATTATTTACCTATCTAAAATGTTATACTGATGGTATTATTTTATTATATTATTAATTAAAAATACTTTTATAGATATTTTTTTTGTGGATCAATTTATATTATAATATTACGGATAGTATGTTAAAAAATTTATTTTAAATATTTTGTATGGAATTTATATATTTATTAATTTTGTATTCTTTTATCATTATCATCATACCTATAAAATATTATATACATATTGTTATAATAATATAATAAGTAGTAGGTATTATATTAAAACAAAAATTTGTTAAAATACACAAGTACATTTTTTTTTAAATGTTTTTATTTTATTTTATTGTTAATATAAATTGACTGAATATACCTATAATAATTATATATATACTCTTAAATAATTTTTATTCCTTTTAGGATTTAATTATTTACCTATCTCATCTATATTTTTTATACTTAAGGTATTATTTTAATGTATTATTAATTAAAAATATTCTTATACATCTTTTTTTTTTATGTGGGTCAATTTATATTATAATATATTACGGCTATACTGTTATAGTATGTTATATAAATTTGTTTCAAATTCTTTGTATGGATTTTATATTTATATTTTTTTTTAAATAAAATAACAGTTATTATAAATTGATTATACATAGATCTTCATTTTTTTACTAATAAATTAATCCGGCATATTATATAACTATATATTATTAAGTTATGAGCACTATTTAAGCACTGTATTTTAAGTATCCTCAGCTCCGTTAATACACAGTATATATACACAAAGTGTGAACTCACATATGCACCGTTTTTGCACTGAACCTTTCATCTGTATATGAACCGACCGGATCACTGTTTGTGAACAATACATTTATTCTGAATATGCACTGTGTATGATAAAATACCATAACATGGGGATTGCACTGACACATACTCCCTAAAAGCACGGTGCTTCTCAAAATAATTAATGTAAATACCGTATTCAAATTATCGAAAGCACGGTGCATTGAACCACTTTTTCACAGTGCCTTGAACCATTAGTTTTATACATGATTTGTCACAAATACTGAACCTAAATTGCTATTCGGGGGCCCATTCCCATGCGGCGCACTCAATTCCCGGTGAGGTTGTCGTTCGCCATGACCATCAACAAGTCGCAGGGTCAGACGTTCGACAGGGTAGGTTTGCTTCTGACGACGCCCCCGTTCACTCACGGGCAGCTGTACGTGGCGTTTTCGAGGGTG